TTTTGTTGATTTATATAATGTGCTGATAAAGGGTCTGAAGCCGCAACGTTTACTTTCCGTTTGTGTTTTATTGAACTGTGAAGCTCGCTGATCTGCTTTTCGTTTGGTTTTATATCTTTTTTTATATCTTTTCGTGATACTAAATAACGCCTGGCAGGCTGGAACCAGTGGTTGTCCAATCACCGTTAGACTGGGCCACAACGCGGCTACTGAAAGTTGCTGCGGGCCCACTCAGCATTTTCTCGACTTCTGATCCCCGTGTGGGCTTGGAGGCCGCATTGCCTCAGCAACAACAAAAAGTAAAGATACTCTGTCTCCATCTAAAACAAGCATGTCGTAAGAGTTGACTAATTAGGGGTTTCCTTCGAACTGAGAGTGCATCTGCCGAAAAGGCAAGAAACCAACAGTCTGCATACAAACAAGCTACATCTGTAAAACGGATGTGCACAAAATTTAAAGTTCTGGAACAAGACCAAAGTACTAAAGCGGTATGACAGCCAAAACCTTTAGTTTCAGTCGATGAACACAAAAAGAAGATATTTTTCTTCTAACACACACCCTTTTTTGGGGGACTGTCTTCCTGACTACAGGACCGGGCTGAAACAGGACATGAAGTCCTCACGTGGACTGGTGAAACGTCTTGTCCCCGGCCAGGTATGCAGCCAAATGCCATGGACTGGTGAAACGACTTGTCCCCTGGCCAGGTCTGCAGCCAAATGACGTGGACTGGTGAAACGATTTGTCCCCGGCCAGGTCTGCGGCCAATTGACGTGGACTGGTGAAATGATTTGTCCCCGGCTAGGTCTGCAGCCAAATAACGTGGACTGGTGAAACGATTTGTCCCCGGCCAGGTCTGCAGCCAAATGACGTGGACTGGTGAAACGATTTGTACCCGGCCAGGTCTGCAGCCAGATGACGTGGACTGGTGAAACGATTTGTCCCCGGCCAGGTCTGCAACCAAATGACGTGGATTGGTGAAACGATTTGTCCCCGGCCAGGTCTGCAGCCAAATGACGTGGACTGGTGAAACGATTTGTCCCCGGCCAAGTCTGCAGCCAAATGACGTGGACTCGTGAAATGACTTGTCCCTGGCCAAGTCTGCAGCCAAATGACGTGGACTGGTGAAACGACTTCTCCCCGGCCAGGTCTGCAGCCAAATGCCATGTGTCAGGTCTACGTGTCAGGGAAATAGAGTTCATGCCTGCGATTATCTGGGGACTGCAGATTGTTGCTGGGTGTTTGAATGGAGGCAAACATTAGAGGGACAATTAAACCTGGAGGCGGTGGAGGTGTGGGTGCAGATAACCCCGACCAGGTTTGCTTTAATGAGACTGGCTTATGTGTGCGTGTGTGTGCCTGCGTGCGCGCGCGCTGACACGCACACAGGTTTCCGACAGACAGGCAGGTGATTAGCCAGATATATATGCGGCCAGGCCTGTACTCGGACATCTGAACAGCTGATAGAAAGGCAGGCAGGTCGACAGAGACAGGTTATCAGACATATAGCTTACAGACAGATTAGACGATAGACAGACTGACAGACATACAGATAACACACAGTCAGATAAACAGACTGACGTATCAAATGATAGATAAGCAGACGTATATCAATGCACACAGTAATCCCTCCCTCCCTCTTTCTTCTCTACCTGCGTGCATCCACGTGTGTATGCCTGTATGCAAATGAGCACATGTTCTCCTCTGTTCGCATATGTATTCATAGTAAATACAGCCAACACCCCTCTTCCTCATTGAATGCACTGATCCACCCACCCAAGTGTGCACACACATCCACAACCCCCCTCCCCTGAATGCGCTGATCCATCCACCCAAGTGCACACACACAACTCCCCCCCCCAATCACTTATCCATTCAGACAGACACACACACACACACAACTCCCCCCAATCACTTATCCATTCAGTCACACACACACACAACTCCCCACAATCACTTATCCATTCAGACACACACACACACACACACACACAACTCCCCCCAATCACTTATCCATTCAGACACACACTCATAAATAAAACGTACACACATACGGAGCTGTCGTGATGTAGCGGCTAGATCTAGAGAATGCCTTGATCAGAAGTAGAACGTCTACATCTAGAGAATGACTTGATAGAGACAAGAACGTCTACATCTAGAGAGTGACTTGATAGAGACAAGACCGTCTACATCTAGAGAATGCCTTGATATAGAGACAAGACCGTCTACATCTAGAGAATGACTTGATAGAGACAAGACCGTCTACATCTAGAGAATGCCTTGATCAGAACTAGAACGTCTACATCTAGAGAATGACTTGATAGAGACAAGACCGTCTACATCTAGAGAGTGACTTGATAGAGACAAGAACGTCTACATCTAGAGAATGACTTGATAGAGACAAGACCGTCTACATCTAGAGAATGACTTGATAGAGACAAGAACGTCTACATCTAGAGAATGACTTGATAGAGACAAGACCGTCTACATCTAGAGAGTGCATTGATAGAGACAAGACCGTCTACATCTAGAGAATGACTTGATAGAGACAAGACCGTCTACATCTAGAGAATGCCTTGATAGAGACAAGACCGTCTACATCTAGAGAATGACTTGATAGAGACAAGACCGTCTACATCTAGAGAGAATGACTTGATAGAGACAAGACCGTCTACATCGAGAGAATGACTTGATAGAGACAAGACCGTCTCCATTTAGAGAATGACTTGATAGTCAAGACCGTCTACATCTAGAGAATGACTTGATAGTCAAGACCGTCTACATCTAGAGAATGCCTTGATCAGAACTAGAACGTCTACATCTAGAGAATGCCTTGATAGAGACAAGACTGTCTACATCTAGAGAATGCATTGATCGGGAGGTCGTAGCTTCAGCTCCTGAAGGGACAGGACTTATTTTTTTTAAAATGACCTTGGCTCCCAGGTCGACCAATAATTAAATGGGTATCAGGTGCAGTCATGTGAAGTAAAGTCAGCCGGCGTGATGAGCACATCACCAAGCGACTGCCCATAAGTCTTTAAAATATAGGTCTTGTCCTATATGCCCAATACGTCTGAAGATGTTGAAAAGGGTCCTTTTTCCTTTTGATATACACGTATCCATGAATCTGTACAGACAGACGACCGGGCAGACAGACATTCAGAAACAGACATGTTTGTAAGGGAAAAACCCGGGTCTTAAGCTTATTTTCGGAAGTGTCTTTTGTTCCCAGAGGGAAGAGACTTCAGAAGAAAACTGTCTACTATCTACGTGAAATCCAGTTTTGCGGTACATACACACAGGCATCTGGTCCACAGGCGCCCGCTTGAGCAATTACAAATACTGGATTATAAAGTATTTAATCAAAACTCTGATGTCAAAACATTATTTATTTATATTTGTGTATGCATTTAATTCTTTATAGTTCGACATTAAATCCGCCTTCTGTCCGACGATCGTATTTAGAGCTTACACTGGGGGTAGAACTTATATAACCGTTGTCCTAAAACATATTGCTGGGCTTTTTTCGGGTACGTCTTTTCCAGCCTGGGAAACACAGTGGTTGTTGTAGTAGTAGCAGCAGCACAGGCGGCCTGGGAAACACAGTAGTGGTCGAAGTAGCAGCAGCACAGGCGGCCTGGGAAACACAGTAGTGGTCGAAGTAGTAGCAGCACAGGCGGCCTGGGAAACACAGTAGTGGTTGAAGTAGTAGCAGCAGCACAGGCGGCCTGGGAAACACAGTAGTGGTCGAAGTAGTAGCAGCAGCACAGGCGGCCTGGGAAACACAGTAGTTGTTGAAGTAGTAGCAGCAGCACAGGCGGCCTGGGAAACACAGTAGTTGTTGAAGTAGTGTAGTAGTAGCAGCAGCACAGGCGGCCTGGGAAACACAGTGGTTGTTGTAGTAGTGTAGTAGTAGCAGCAGCACAGGCGGCCTGGGAAACACAGTAGTTGTTGTAGTAGTGTAGTAGTAGCAGCACAGGTGGCCTGGGAAACACAGTAGTTGTTGTAGTAGTGTAGTAGTAGCAGCAGCACAGGCGGCCTGGGAAACACAGTAGTTGTTGTAGTAGTGTAGTAGTAGCAGCACAGGTGGCCTGGGAAACACAGTAGTTGTTGTAGTAGTGTAGTAGTAGCAGCACAGGCGGCCTGGGAAACACAGTAGTGTTGTTGTAGTAGTAGTAGTAGTAGCAGCAGCACAGGCGGCCTGGGAAACACAGTAGTTGTTGTAGTAGTGTAGTAGTAGTAGCAGCACAGGTGGCCTGGGAAACACAGTAGTTGTTGTAGTAGTGTAGTAGTAGCAGCACAGGTGGCCTGGGAAACACAGTAGTTGTTGTAGTAGTGTAGTAGTAGCAGCAGCACAGGCGGCCTGGGAAACACAGTAGTTGTTGTAGTAGTGTAGTAGTAGTAGCAGCACAGGCGGCCTGGGAAACACAGTAGTTGTTGTAGTAGTGTAGTAGTAGCAGCAGCACAGGCGGCCTGGGAAACACAGTAGTTGTTGAAGTAGTGTAGTAGTAGCAGCAGCACAGGCGGCCTGGGAAACACAGTAGTTGTTAGAAGTAGTGTAGTAGTAGCAGCAGCACAGGCGGCCTGGGAAACACAGTAGTGGTCAAAGTAGTGTAGTAGTAGCAGCAGCACAGGTGGCCTTTTAATCAGGATGCAACTGGTACTACTGGGACTGTTAGAATGTCGACTCTTAGTTGGCTACCGAAGAATGGGACAGGGAACGTGTCGGAATGTCCCGACTCCAGTATTGTAAACTCGATTCTTTTCTTTTAGTTCACCCAATCTCAGGAGCTCCTAGATTTCGTGAGGAATTCGCAGGAAAGTCTAATATCATGAGGGGGTAGGGTCAGTGTTTATAGGTGTTCATTTCACACCATAACACCCCTATACTATTGGAATTTCCCGGAATTTCCCATGAAATCTACGAACCCCCGAGATGGGTGGGAACAAATCGAAAAGCTGTCAATTCGTAGTTAATAAATTAATGAACTGACACTACTTACTTAAAAACAACTGTCATGAACTGGCCGGTAGATTTGAGAGTTGGCGGCAGAATCCGCCCACAAAGACCGCCCGTGCCTCCGGCATCTTCCTGTGAACAAGTCGTGTATTTCACTCACTGAGACCCGTGGCTCATAACATTATCTACACATCTCATTACTGTCCCACTAGATCCGTGGCTCATAACATTATCTACACATCTCATTACTGTCCCACTAGACCCGTGGCTCATAACAATATCTACACATCTCATTACTGTCCCACTAGATCCGTGGCTCATAACATTATCTACACATCTCATTACTGTCCCACTAGACCCGTGGCTCATAAGAATATCTGTACATCTCATTACTGTCCCACTAGATCCGTGGGTCATAACATTATCTATACATCTCATTACTGTCCCACTAGATCCGTAGGTCATAACATTATTTATACATCTCATTACTGTCCCACTAGATCCGTGGCTCATAACAATATCTATACATCTCATTACTGTCCCACTAGATCCGCGGCTCATAACAATATCTATACATCTCATTACTGTCCCACTAGATCCGTGGGTCATAACATTATCTATACATCTCATTACTGTCCCACTAGATCCGTGGGTCATAACATTATCTATACATCTCATTACTGTCCCACTAGATCCGTGGCTCATAACAATATCTATACATCTCATTACTGTCCCACTAGATCCGTGGCTCATAACATTATCTATACATCTCATTACTGTCCCACTAGACCCGTGGCTCATAACAATATCTATACATCTCATTACTGTCCCACTAGACCCGTGGCTCATAACAATATCTATACATCTCATTACTGTCCCACTAGATCCGTGGCTCATAACAATATCTATACATCTCATTACTGTCCCACTAGATCCGTGGCTCATAACATTATCTATACATCTCATTACTGTCCCACTAGACCCGTGGCTCATAACAATATCTATACATCTCATTACTGTCCCACTAGATCCGTGGCTCATAACAATATCTGTACATCTCATTACTGTCCCACTAGATCCGTGGGTCATAACAATATCTATACATCTCATTACTGTCCCACTAGATCCGTGGGTCATAACAATATCTATACATCTCATTACTGTCCCACTAGATCCGTGGGTCATAACAATATATATACATCTCATTACTGTCCCACTAGATCCGTGGGTCATAACAATATCTATACATCTCATTACTGTCCCACTAGACCCGTGGCTCATAACAATATCTATACATCTTATTACTGTCCCACTAGATCCGTGGGTCATAACAATATCTATACATCTCATTACTGTCCCACTAGATCCGTGGCTCATAACAATATATATACATCTCATTACTGTCCCACTAGATCCGTGGGTCATAACAATATCTATACATCTCATTACTGTCCCACTAGATCCGTTAGTCATAACAATATCTATACATCTCATTACTGTCCCACTAGATCCGTGGGTCATAACAATATCTATACATCTCATTACTGTCCCACTAGATCCGTGGGCTATAACAATATCTATACATCTCATTACTGTCCCACTAGATCCGTGGCTCATAACCACATCTATACATCTCATTACTGTCCCACTAGATCCGTGGGTCATAACAATATCTATACATCTCATTACTGTCCCACTAGATCCGTGGCTTATAACAATAACGCAAATTGGCCTGTTCCAACCACACTGAAGACAAAACTGTATGGTACACGAGAGGATATAGACTGCACGATAGCTTTCATAAAGGCTACCGGCCTCCTGATATAAGTTTTCTGACAGAAGGATTGAAGAAGAAGAAGAAGAAGACAGTAGACGCTACTGTACACTGGACATTTATATGTCCTCGGAGGAAGCAGTCACCTCTAGGAAACTACTGAATGTTCTCATGAGAAGTTGGTTACAACGTCTCTTACCTTCACCTTGGTCCCTATGTGCTTCACCAGGTGTCACGCCGAAGTACTGTAATCATATTAGCTTTCAGGGACTTAACATTTTAACAAAAGAAAGAAGGGACAGGAGCAGATAATCACGTCTAGTGTATAGAAGCGCCCATATTTGTCGCCACCTAACGACTTCTTCGGGCAGCCTGGTCGGCTTATATTTTATGAATTAATCAAGTAACAGAAAGTTTTGTGAACGGCACTCATAGAATGAAGTAGAAGATGAGAAAACAAACTAGACAACATCTGAAATCAGAAAGCTATAGTTACCGTGCCGGGAATTGAACCTGTCACCTCCAGACGGCGTCTGCGCCTCGCCATGAATACAAGTGCACTAAGATACATGGTCAACTAGGCACCCCCAAGAAAAAGGTGTCTCATTGGCCATGTCTATCGTACAGCTTGAAAATCCACGACTATGGAATACGGACAGAATTCATTTCAACCCATTGAAATGGTGCACCATAGGTCACAAGAAATTTATATTAACGAAGCAGGGACTAACAATCACAGCAACAATTTACGAACAGTAAGGGATTGCTTTGTCTAGCACAAACATCAGAAAGTATTTGTTGTATAGAAGCGCCGGTATGTATACGTCATTCCTACGAATAAACAGAGGGGGGAACCATTTGAGGCCGTTAAACATAAACTGTTTATTTATTTTTTGAGGGTGTTTCTAAAAAGAAGTGCGCTAAACGAGGACTCATCTGTGGTGTTTTGTCCTGTTCTAAGCCTAACCTTTTAATTTCTATTGGCATCTCTGTACGTTATCATCCCATTTATATCGCTTAAACTGCCTTTGACCTCTCTCCTCTATAACAACAAAAGCAGCCTTTCAGTCATATCTGGCTCTGGGTTGACGCTTCTATAGAGGGAAAGTCTCCAGTCGAGCTCCTTTCAGCGGATTCTATTCTGTTGCCCTTGTTCAAACAGTCTCCTTTCCGTGAATTCAAGATGAACCCTTTCTGTGTGTAACCACTTGTTACTGCCAGTAGCCTTTGCCTCCCAGTTGTGATGTCTATCCTAGCATATTCTTGTCTGTCTATTTTTAAATCGCAAATGTTTACGTTCAGCTTACGGTCGCTTTAGAGCATAGTTAGCGCGGCTGCCAGCCGACCCAGTTGTGGGTTCCAATCCTACCTACAGCTTGACAGTTTTTAAAAACTAACTAAGGCGTCTTCGTTGATCCAAGCTGAAACGGGTATCAAAAATTGGGTACTATATTTTTAACTCACCCAGACACAGAAAATAACGGAGTTTTCGGGAAAGTCCAATAATCTAGGTGTGTTATGGGTTCCGGTTGCAGTTAGGGTTAGGATCTTTGTCAGCCCCGACCGCCTCAGAGACACCGACTGACCCTAACTCTCACACACCTAGACTAGTGGACTTTTCCGGGAATTCTGGGACTTTCTTTATTGGGGTCAAGTTGAAATAAAGTATCAGTAATTGTTATGGGCAGCAAAAGCGGCCGGCCCAGTACTAACCATAAACAACCATCACATACCACTGGTCCACGCAAATGTGAGGACACTCTCATATGTTTGTTTGTTTGTTCGTTTGTTTGTTTGTTCGTTTGTTCAACACCAAGGCACACGGGTGTAACCGGCTCCGTTCTACTTCTGACTCAAGCCTGAGTCACAAGAATCTCAGCTCAGTGAACGAACTCCGTTGCACCGGCGAGGACCCTGAAAAACGTTGGGTAGATTTGTGACTCCAAATTGTGCCCAGGCAGCGCCGTTATGCAGCTCTTTTTCCATTTCCCACTGCCAAGGAATTGGTCACGTGTCCAGGGCGACCGGTCTGACTCCCAGGTTAGTTTCGTATCCTTTACAGGACGTTGCAGAACCAACCCTGGCTGTTGTGTGGTTTTTCTAGGCACATTTACGTCCAGTAGTTTACCATTGCTTTCTGGACGGTCGGCTTTATTGATACCACTGTCGAAACCAACGCAAGGACCGCAGCTGGAATCGAACCCGGCATCCCGGCATTACGAAGCGTTCGCATCGACTTAGCCACAGAGCCGACTTACTACCCAGAGACCAGTGAAATTACCAGGTCCACGTAGACAAAAAATCCTAGCCCTCACCGGAGTTTGAACCTGGGGTATGTCTAGTCCACAGTATAGAGCCTGGCTATTCGAAAGGCGACCAGCGGCCCTAATGTGGATAATTGCCATAAACTGTACTCCAGTTGTGATCTCCCTGTACCGAGGCTCGGGTCAGTGGCCTCATTTTCAACATTTTGGTCCGTGAGTAAACTCAGTTGAACAGTCCTGCCATAGAGTGTCAGCAGCATATCTCCAAACCTTAACTGTCCTTCGCATCCCTAAAGAGTGATTGAACATTCGCCAGTAACTGCTCTATTCACTGTAGGTGGTGGGTTCAAATCCGCAGTGTGTTTTCAAACATGGCCTTGACTCCCAGGTTGACCCAGCCCGAAAAAGGTACCAGGCAAAGTCCATGGAAGCAAAGGTGGCTCGCGTAGTATCGATCACATCACCCATCTGGTTTCGGTTGGTCTAGTCTTTCCCAAACTTGTTTGGCCTACCGCCCCCTTTTCAACTTAGCAATCACCGAGGGGCCCACCCTCCCCCTTTTCTCCCTTTTTCTTTCCCCTCCCCGTGGAAATATCATCATCATGTGCCACGCCAAAAAGCATAGAGCGTAATCATGGATCGAGTGGTGCTCCTGACCCACTCCCATGAATAAGAGAACCCCTTTAACAATTTTAAGAAATCGTTTTTTTTAAGTATCTGTTTGTTTATTTGACATCACTTCCGGTCTAGTGACCTATTTATTTGCCATTCATCACAACAACAATAACCGCAATAACGGGTTGAATGGCGAATGCATCAACCAATGCTTGGTGAATGTCAATGTCTGTAACATATGGTGCTATTTAAACGGTTTGAGATGAATTCTGTCCGTATTCCATAGTTGTGGATTTCAAGCTGTACAACAGACATGGTCAATACAGATATGTTTTTAGGGGTGCCTAGTTGGTCAATTATCTTAGTACTCTTGTTTCCATAGCGAGGCGCACACACACCATTTGGAGGTGACAGTTCTGATTCCTGGCACGATAACTATAACTTTCCTTTTGTGTGTTGTCTATTTGTCCTTATATCTTTCTATTTCTTTCTATGAGTGCCCATCAATACCTAGTCTGTTTGTTTATTATACATCATGTTTTTAGGGCCTTAGGATTTCCCCTCCGTTGTGAAAACTAAAGCCCAGAAGTGGACGAACAACCGGAGTTTACAGCCGGTGACCGTGAAGAAGAAGAAGAAACTCAATACAAACTCGGAAGCTCAACAGAGAGAACGCAGAAGACCACCACAACGTTTCGACAAGGGAAGACAACTGGACTCACCATTGCTCTGGTGAGTATCGTATTGTCATCAAACACGTACAGCGCATCGTTACAGTATCCGTTTGGGGTTCTGTCAGGGATATCCATCTCGATGACTCTCAACATGAGCTTCCAGTCAGAACTTTCAGCTTTGAAGATAATCTGGCAGTCGATGTCGTGCAGATAGTAATCGCCCTTGCTGTGAGAGAAGACCACTGCACCACCAACGTGTTTCTGGTCTCCACAGTCGCTAGAGTCCATGAAGTCTGTCGATAAACAGGGTTAAAAGAGTTTAGAGTGGCTGGTGGGTGGGCTGGCTGTTTCGGTTAGGTGGTTGGGTGGGTTGATTAGTTAGTTGGTTGATTGGTGGGTGAGGATTATTACTTAACTGATAAAATTTGTTAGTTTAAGGTAAGGTAAAGGTAAAGTCGGGAGATGTGAACCAGCGTCATTGCACACGGTTATAAACCATAAGTGCTCTGCCAACAGTACGGACACTTGATAAGATCCTGTCTGCCTGTGTCGCCTTCCACACGTAACTCCGTAGCTACAGCGACGTTCCTCCATTTACCCCAGACTGTCACTTTGGTACCCATTACCTAGAGGCTGGGTGAACCCCACTAACCGCCAGGTTTTGAACACCGGCCGTGAGCTGCAGCGAGTCGCAGCTGGATTTGAAAGCGAGCCTCCTATCGACTACGCTAACGCGGCTCCCAGTGTTAGTTTAAAGACCAGCTATCAAGCATGGACAGTAAATAGGACAATAGAACATAAAATAACTACGTGTGAAATACGCTGTCTACGCAAGGTCACTAACATCACGAGACAAGGTTATGGATACCATACCAGCATTAGAGAGAAAGTTGGAATAAGACCATGTCTGGATTATACAAGGTCCGACAATTAAGTAATGAGACTACATCCATAAATATTTTAATAATCAACAGTTGAAGATATAACCTTTATTTTATTCAAAGTAAGCCCCTTGTGCGAACCAATTCTGGATTACATACAAAGCCAGTAAGTGAAATGGTTTGCCCACTTAGAGAGAATGCCTTGTGACACCATACCATACAAAGCATACATGGAAAGAGAAGAAGGACGTAGAGCACGGGGTAGACCAAGAACAATATGGAAGGATAACATCAGAGAAACTCTACAACAGTACGATGTGCCTATGGTCGAGGCAGCCAGAAGAGCCAGAAACAGAACCTTATATCTCCCTCGACACCCACAGCGGTAAAAGAGGAAGTGAAGAAGAAGAAGAAGAAGAAGAAGAAGAAGAAGAAGAAGAAGAAAGAAGAAGAAGAAGAAGAAGAAGAAGAAGAAGAAGAAGAAGAAGAAGAAGAAGAAGAAGAAGAAGAAGAAGAAGAAGAAGAAGAAGAAGAAGAAGAAGAAGAAGAAGAAGAAGAAGAAGAAGAAGAAGAAGAAGAAGAAGAAGAAGAAGAAGAAGAAGAAGAAGAAGAAGAAGAAGAAGAAGAAGAAGAAGAAGAAGAAGAAGAAGAAGAAGAAGAAGAAGAAGAAGAAGAAGAAGAAGAAGAAGAAGAAGAAGAAGAAGAGAAGAAGAAGAAGAGAGAGAAGAAGAAGAAGAAGAAGAAGAAGAAGAAGAAGAAGAAGAAGAAGAAGAAGAAGAAGAAGAAGAAGAAGAAGAAGAAGAAGAAGAAGAAGAAGAAGAAGAAGAAGAAGAAGAAGAGAAGAAGAAGAAGAAGAAGAAGAAGAAAGAAGAAGAAGAAGAAGAAGAAGAAGAAGAAGAAGAAGAAGAAGAAGAAGAAGAAGAAGAAGAAGAAGAAGAAGAAGAAGAAGAAGAAGAAGCAGCAGCCCCTTGTGCATTGATACAGCAAGTGGCACGATCTAACCAACACTGAAACGACCTTTGTAGTTCTTTTGTTGTTATGACCCTTAAAGTCGATGTTACGTCCCTTTGGATGTCATCAAAATCGTTAAAAAAGCGTCCCTCCAATCGAAACTTTAATTTTGGGAATAGAAAATAATCACAGAGAGACAGATCTGGGAAAAAGGGTGAAACACACACTTGTTTTGGGGCCAAAAATTCTTGTTTTGGTGATGTCTCTTGGGTACTCAACCCGAAGATGTCTTTTGTCATCAAACAAAATGTGGTACAAATAGGCAAGAAACTTTTTTCTTGCCAAAATCTTGCACTAAAATGTTATGAATGGTCTCTCTATTACCACCAGATTCATCTGCCATTATCTTAACAGTAAAACAATAATCTTTTTGCATTCAGACTTTTGCAATGAGTTCATCATTACGAACAGAAATTTGGCGTCCAGGTCTAAGGTGCATTGGTAATCATTTCTACACCACTTTTGAATCGTGAATACTAGCTGAAAATGAGTGCATGAGATAAACAATTATCCCCATAAACTTCTTGAATCAATGGAACTGTTTCCACGGCACTTTTTCTGGATTTTAACAGGAATTTCATGTTAGCTTTTTGCTCTGTGCTGATTATGTAACAATGCATCGCTGACTAGGTCAACAAAATGGCGGCTTGTTTGGTGTCTGCTCATCCTGCGGTGATAAAAAGGTGGCAGATCATAGATGAATGTTGTCTCTTTAGATTCCATGCTTTGCTTTTTATATGGCACTTTTGTCTTGGCCATAATAAAATCAGTCTCATAACTTAATTGTCGGACCTTGTACTAAGAAACAAACAATGAAATGGATGGGCCATCTAGTGAGAATGCAGCCAGACCAGATGGCTTTTGAGACTATCTACAGTAGAACATCTGGGAGGAAGGCAAGAGGAAGACCAAGAAAGTTATGGATAAATGGTGTAGATGAAACCTGTAAAAGTTAAACAAATCCAGAAAACTACTGGACTATAACCGGGTAACAGTGATTCGACAAAAGAAGAAGAAGCAGAACAACAAGAAGAAAAAGAACAACAACAACAACGAGGAAGAGGAGGAGGAGGAGAAAGATAAGCAGGAAAAGAATAAAAAGGAGAGGGAGAAAGAAGAAGAAGAGAGAGGAGAAGAATAAGAACAAACCAGCCCATTACTGCCAGACAGGAGTCTGTCGACTGATAACCTTTGTTTGAGAACGCTGACACTGACTACTGACACTGACTACTGACACGCCTGCCTGACACAAATTACCCAGCCAGGACAGCAGTGCCGCTAATTAGCCCACAGACAGCCTTCTGGTTCTGGCTCACTACAACAGACACCTTTCCCAATCTGGCCCATTATCTATTTAACTGCCCTGTTTATAAGAAAGAATAATCGCATGCTATGTTTAGAGCCAGTATTAACACAAGTCTCGGAATGCTGGACTTATAACAATGACAAGACAAACAACTTCTGGAGGCCTCAAATATGTGCTATCACATAAGCATGGTGCCGGTTTTAAGCACAAGCTCAACTGCAGATCAGGCCTTCAGAAATACAGGAGCCTTAACAGGTTCCTAACTTTGTTCACAGAAACAATTTTCATTTGACAGAGACTGAGAGAATTAATTTCTTAATAGCAGCAGCATCAGCAGTAGTAGTAGTAGCAGCAACAGCAGTAGCAGCAGCAGTTGTAGTAGTAGCAGTTGCAGTAGTAGTAGCAGCATTAGTAGTACTAGTGTCAGTAGTAGAATTAGTAGTAGTTGCAGTAGTAGCAGTTGCAGTAGTAGTAGCAGCATTAGTAGTACTAGTGTCAGTAGTAGAATTAGTAGTAGTAGTAGTAGTAGTAGTAGTAGTAGTAGTAGTAGTAGTAGTAGTAGTAGTAGTAGTAGTAGTAGTTGTAGTAATAGTAGCAGTAGTAATAGTAGCAGTAGTAGTACTAGTGTCAGTAGTAGAAGTAGTAGTAGTAGTAGCAGAAGCAGTAGTAGCAGTAGTATTAATAGTAGTAGTATTAGCAGTAGTAGTAATAGTAGCAGCAGCAGCAGCATCGGCAGTAGTAGTAGTAGTAGCAGCAGCAGTAGTAGTAAGAGTAGCAGTAGTAGCAGCAACAGCATTAGTAGTAGTGATGTGTTAGTGGTGGTGGTGGTGGTAGTAGTAGTGGCAGCAGCAGAAAAAAAATAGGATGTATACTGTATGCAGGGTAGACATGTTGAGGCCTCAAGGTATATAAATCCCTGAGGCCCCTACCGTTTCAAATGATACCAGCCAATCTAAGAAAACTGTCAAATATACACGCACGTTTAATAGTTTCAAGTAAATAACCCGTTTTATGCCTATAATTTTGAATTTAATATATTGAACATATAGGACTTTCGGCCGCTTTTACTTCCCATAACGTCACCTTGTATCCATTCCGGGTTAGGTCGGCGTGGGAGTCGAGGTCGTTTTCATTTTAATTATATGGGTGATTGAAATACATTTTCGTTTATTTTTTTTTAAAAAGAATTGATTAAAGTACTTGTTTGCAAAAATACATACATTATATGAAATAGTCCTCTAAAAGGTTGTAAGTGACGTAAAAGGTTGTAAGTGACGACTTGAAACGTTTTCCCCCTTGATTTCCAAAAAGCAAAATAATTTATTGTCATCAGAAGATCCTGCTAACATATAGCTTGCTATACACATGATGCTCAGTGCAGACAGAGTTTCTTGGGACACTGGTGCTCTTATTTCACTTGTTACCCTTCGACACATAAATAAACGGAGTGGCAACCCTTCAAACCGTAACCGTATAGATATAATTAATAAATAGACAATAAATAGACCTTTTGCCCCCTGCCCCCCTCCCCCAACGCACAACAGCAAGCTGCTCTTTGAGCTGTGTTGCGAATGCGCATGCAACACCTAGCGCCGCCTAACGAACGGATACATAAAGTTCGATGTTGCCATCGCCTAATGATACCTTTAGAAACCATCAACTACATGTTCCTGCCATCCAATAACCATTTGTGACTTTTTGATTGAATCTCCCTTGATATATCCATGGTGTCTACAGTTATGTTAGATGTTATATGGAGAGAGTATCATAGTATGTATGTTCACGGTTTGTTTGGGGCTCTGTACAGAGTATGTTAAATGATATGTTTAGATTGTTATACGCTATTAAAAGAGTATATTAGATGGCGCGTTTAAGGTATGTTTGAGGTTTTGTATAGAGTATGTTAGTATGTTTAGAGTATGCTAGAGGTTGCGTACTGAGTATGTTAGATAGTATGTTTAGTGTATGCTAGAGGTTGCGTACTGAGTATGTTAGATAGTATGTTTAGTGTATGCTAGAGGTTGCGTACTGAGTATGTTAGATAGTATGTTTAGTGTGTGCTAGAGGTTGCGTACTGAGTATGTTAGATAGTATG